CAGCAGCAGTTTTTCTCATTTTGAAAGCAGCATTTACTGCTGTTCAAAAAGTTTTTGGCATTTAACTCTGTATCGAAATTTATTGATTTAGCTTTGAAGTAGTGAAGGACTTTGATCCGACATTAAAACCACCAATATTGTCAGCAAGGAGATCAAGCGAACATTAACTATTGCCGGCAGATGCTACTTTGGGCTGGGTAAATCAGCACCTAGAATAAATATGAGAAGCAGAGATCTTTATCATAGATGAGGTGACTAGTCGCACCGCTAAGCCATTACAACGCCATTCTACGATGGATTCTAAAACATGTCAATAACAAAAGTAGATAGTGATATAATTGTTTGCATTCCTAGAAAGGGAATGCAACCGCCTTTTTACTAGCACTGCTATGACTATGAGGCCTCTCTATCGCAGTTAGACTGTTCATGACAATTTTAAAAACTGCAGTTAAAAAATTCTGCGAAAAGCTATCAGAAATGATGAAAGTACAGCTTTTTCTGTAAAAACTAGTTTACACTTGTGGATAAAATCGGCTAGAGAAATGTGCTTCTCTCGGTACTCAATACATGTATGTCGTACACTAAAGTCACTTATCCCTTCTTTCCATTCCCGTACTGGCAAACCAACTCAACTACAAATTTGCCGGTAAATTTATGATTAGTAGTAGTCACACTATTGTCTAAATAAGTTAACTCTAAACAGGATTGAACGCCAAATGTTATTCAAATGAATACTAAATAACTTGGAAAACCACTAAAATTCAACTTTCTGAGCAAATACGGGCAGCGGGGCAACTTCGAAACATTGCTGAAGAAATTTGTAAGCAAACTTTTGAAGCATTCAACAATTACACTTTTCATACATGACCGAATTTTAGTTGGAAGCAGAAATTGCTAAAATTTTTTACGTTCTTGGTCACTTTTGGTATGTTGTTATTGGCTTTTCATGCAAAATTGAGTTTAGTGCTTAAACCAAGAATCACTAATGGATGTATGTGCCACATGCATACGTATGCTGTCGCATGCTTTACTTGGCAGTGTTACCAGAAAAAAATTTCGCTTCGAGCTAAATCGATCGAAAAAAGAGCTAAATAATACTAATAGTAGCTAAAATGAAGAGCTAAATTTTTTCTTGAAGTTGAGCATTTATTAAATTAAAGTTGCTTTTATATTTTCCGCAATTTTAGTAAAAATAACGAATTTTATAAATTTAAGTGTTGAAGAAAACTTTTACAACCAAAATAAGGTGCATAAATTTGGAATTCATTGCCACGGCACTTATAACACTTATATGTATGCGTATACTTATATAAAATAGACGATGAACTAAAAACACTTTACAAACTGTTAAAGTCTGCTAGTCAAGTCTAGATATTTTTGAAAAGAGAGTTGGAGCTAAGTCCCAATTTTCGGAGCTAGATAGGAAAATAAAGAGCTAAATCTAGCTCCAAAACTACGGAAAATGGCAACACTGTTACATGGTCAGTGAATATATACGTATATGGAGGTACATGAGTGTATTTACATACATGCATACATACATACATACAAATATGCCCGTATAAATGTACCCATATGTATAGTATATATTAATGAATAAATCGCTCAATGCTGTGCAGAAGCGGAACTAAATAAGACATTTACGAATTTTCCATTAAATTCTATTCGTAACCGTTGGGTGGCTAAAAGTTTTCTTGTTAAAAGCTTTTGGCCATACAAAAGTTCCTTTGTCATAGCCGTAAGGAAGTTGGACTTTGACTTTTTCAATGCATTTTAGCCGCAATTTAAATGCAATTTTCCAAGTAAATTTAAATACAAAGAACCACAGTTCGCATGTGTGCGTATGTATGTGTGAGTCTAGTATGTAAATAAACCCTGCAGAAAAATTTAGAGACAGTGTGGCAAAGCGCTAGTTCCAACCTACAAATTTCAGAACTGTCTCTGAACTACTCCAAAAGGGATGCAGAGCTGGACGGTTGAAACTCATGTGGTGCTAGTTGTGCTATCATCAATGTTACTCCTCTTGGTCATGTGAAATCTGACAAAAGATGCACAAATATACATACCATACTATATTTTTTCGATATTTTAGGCCCTAAAACTAATAGCAAACTTTTTTCGTTTATTTAGTATGTAATTCCCTAGTTTATGGGGCAACGGCTAAAATATTTCCAAAAAAGTCGTTATTGGTAACATTAATGTCATTTCTATACATATAGGTATAAATTTTAATGCAGAATATAACCACTTCACAGCAAAAGTCTCCGTACACTATTTCCTTTTTAAGTATTCACAGTATATTGAGAGCTAGCATTTGTTTGTTAATATTTTATAAAAAAATATTTACTTTCATGCTTAAGACAAAATCATATAAACCCAGTTTTCAAGCTTTATTCAAAACAAAGGAAAAATCAATGATTTTTCATCAAAATTTTCGACCTGTTCATCAGATAAAAAACTTATCACCGAGTGCAGTGTTTTTTTTTTAATTTTCAATACTTTTTTTTTAATTTTAAATATTTATCGTTAAGTTTTTGTTTAAGCATGGCTCTTATTTCAGAAACCATTTAAATTTTTTGCAAACTTAATAGAACTCTAAAGACAGCCCTCAAATTTCAAACTTTTTAATCAGAGTTTTTTTATGAATATTTCGTGTATTCAGTTTTGAAGCCTATAACATTTTAGTGTAGTAAAGTGTAAACTTGCATCTGAGACGAAAATAATTAAATAGGAGAATACCTTCAAGAACGTGCGTAAAAAGAGTTATAAAAAATCAAGGCGATCAATTATACAAAAATTTAATGGGCTATAAAACTGCAAACTTATGAACTCTGATTTAAAAAATTTAAATTTTTATAACAATTTCTAGAATTCTAACAAATTTCCAACACAGTTAGAAACGTGAATTTAAATCAAAAAAAAAAAAAAATAAGAGAAATATTTAACATGAAAACCATCGTGAATATCCAAATTATATATGTATATTCTTAATTCGATGCAGGAGAGTCTACGTATTACATTTATTACAATTTAACGATGAGTTATCATTAATAAGCATTCAATATGTCGCCGTTTTTCTCATTTTGTCACATGACTTATATATTTAAATATAAGTAACACAGAAATGCCCATTATAGGTAACATATATAAATTGTTTTCAAGAATAACGGGTTTAAAAAGTGAAGGAATAACCGACACTCTATATTCCTAATTTTAAAGCACAGTTTACCTAAAATAGTAAATTAGTGCAAAACAAATTGCTATTATTTAAAAAATAAAATGAAGTATTTTTTATTTACAAATTGTATGCGTGCTTTTTTAATTACAGTATTTAAAGAAAAGGAACCAGCTCAAAACTAACCACATTTGTTCTAGCTCGGAGGTGACTCTTTTTGATCTATCTAGGCCAGTCAGCTAAGAACAAGTTCGAAAGTTCTGCAGAGGGCGACAATTATCGCTTCGTAGAACATCGCCATGTTAAAAAAGACAGTTGAAATCATTGAATTGGGATAAATGAAGAACCAGTACTGTCCCTTTTCAGGCTAGGTCAGCGCGAGTTCTGAACCAGTTTGGTTTGCTGCAGGGAATGAAAGTACAAACACATGTACATATGAACATTAGCGTGGTCCAAAAAAGTAAAGCCGGAATTTTAATAATCTCATCCCCTACGATGGTTCTATATCGAAAAAAGTAGATCTCTATTAATTTATTTTGAAATCAAAAAATATCTAGAGGTCGCGGGAAAAACAAGTTTTCGTAGAAATGGCATAGAATACTTGAAAACCAATATTTTTCAATCGGAAAACTCTGGTCTTTTCAGGAGACTTTCAATAATAATTGTTTATTTAGCCATTTTTTTTGCATTTTTCGGGGTTTCTCGGAGTTTTTGACGGACCTATAAACTATAGTTACTCTGAAAAAATTATTATTATTATTTGGAATCTTTTGTAGATAAACAAAGTTTTCTGATCGAAAAATATTGATTTTTAGGAATTCTAAACCATTTCAAGAAAAAATATATATTTTTTTCAATATAAAATACATGGGCACTTTGCGCGACCTCTAAATATTTTAAAATAAAAGTAGGGCTATGTTTTTTCGGTTTAGAACAATTCTAGGGGGTGCGAGCATAAAAGTGTACTTTTTCACGTGCATTTTCGGACCTCCCTAATGCACATACAAGAGTTTTGGCTTGTGGGTAACACATACGTGAAACCAGGACTATGGAGAGGCGGGTATTAAAAGTTGGAATTTTGGTGCAAAGAGTCAAACCAAGTAGTAAAACTGACTAGTCCAGCGTGAAGTGATCTTATCACTAATAGTATAAATTGGCGCTTAACCTGCCGCTAAAGCTTTCAACGCAAAATGTAAAGAAAAAATTTACAAAATCACTTTGGGGCAGTTAGTGTGCCAATCAATAAGAAGAAAAATACGCTTTTTTACACTTCGGAATAGTTGAAAGTCGGTTTTGGACTAATTACATGCTTCGAAAACAAACTTATAAAGAATCTTTCGTCTGCAACTGCAACGGCGAGGAACTAGTCGAGGGCTATTCAAGTTCTACCTTAAAGGATTAGTTGGCGACTAATTAGCGCCTAAATTGTAACCCATGAATACTAATCCTGGTCTACTTTCTTTTGCAAGTTTGAGTAAGTTGCTACACCAAGTTATGCATTCTACTATTTAGTAGAAATATTCCACTAACGCAATAATAAATCGCTTGTGGCAAATATAAATAGAAGCAACAGCACGGCTAGCCACACAGCAAAGCTTTTGTAGATGTGTGTGTGTGTGTGTGTGTGTGTGTGTGGGCGTGTGAGTTCGTGTGCATGCCCGTAGCATTCGTGACCTTTTTTCAAGGCAACTCGCTTGCTGGGAATTGACTTAGACTTAACGGTACAATCTCAAACTCAAACTGCCTTTTCAGTTTCCCTTCTTTAATTGCACAAGTTTTTACTGCTGCTGCAACTGAAGCGAAATGAAAGTTCTTCGCAACTTACCAACCACTTGCAAGTGCACTCGGGCGCTAACTTTTGGCTCTGTTGACACTTGACATTCGTAGGCGCCCGCATCTCTTGCTTGTACGTATTTTATTTGCAGCGTCCAAAATTTATCTGGCTGTTTCAGCGCTAGAAATCGTTGGTCTGCAATGAAAACGGCTCTGCAAATACAAAAGAAAAATATGCATGAGAATTTGTTTATTTTTATTTATTAGTATAGTTTTGTTAGAATTTTCTGTTTTTTTTTTTACTGTTGCTATTATGTATTTTTTATTTTCTTATGTAGTAGAGCTCTTATATGTAGATGAGTAAATGCTGTTATCAATTAAGAGTTACGAATTTCTGAAATTCCTAATTAAAAAACTTTCGGTTCGATAAATCTATCTAC